TATCATTACTAATGATGCAAAGGCTTTCAAACTGATATTGTAGATCACAATCCAACTTTTACAGATAAACACACTCACGACCCTGCGTGAAGCATTCGTTCAGTATGGAGCCTCTCTTGTGCAGCACATCATTGTACTAAGGAAACGGGCTCGACTTTTGCGTAATTACTATAAACCTTAAATTGCACTTTGTTGATTAGTTTACTAAGTAGTGATTTAAAAGAAGAGAACATTAGATGGGTAGCCTAGGCCTGCAGCAGAGAAAACTCAAGATTGTGGTTGAGAGAGCCAGACCTTTGGTCATGGCACTAGTAGCTCTTGAAACATGAATGCCTCTTGACAAGATCACAGGATTGAGTCTGTGGATAGCATTTGATCCTGGCCTCAAAACACAATTTGATGGTAGCCTGGAAGTGGACGCTGCGAGGTGGAAGCCTCGGACAGAATTGGAAAACAATGCAGACTTTACGCAGCCTTTGATCACAGAACCACAGGTGAGCACTAGCTTCCTTGAAGATGCTGCCATTCTCTCACTGTTTCCTGAACCTGCGATGAATAAATACTCACTCGCATCGGCACGAAATGCTAACCAAAAGTATATCACACTCCGGTGCGTAGCCGATCTAACTATGCCAATATCGCCCGAAATCTGAGTCACCGTAGATGGATCATCTGAAGCGCAATTTCAGCCTAAGTGTTTGCCTCTACGCTGTCACGTGGGGGGCTATATGATACAAAGGATAAGCCTACAATCACACACGTCCTTCACGACGCACTTCGGGGTACAGCATAACGTCACGGTCGCCCATCCCCCAAGCGTCTCGCGAGAAAACAAACGCCCTGAAGGGTTTCATGGTAAGTCCAGATTCGAGCCGGATCATGGTCTCCATGCCTTCAATGCATGCCGGAAGTCTCTCTTTGGGCGTCTTCGAAAAAACGTATTTCATCAGCGTTTTCGGACAGACAAAAACAGCAGACAAGATCCATATCTGCGATATTTCGCGTTGATGGCGATATTCAGAGTGCAAGTAATTACTTGAAAACCGGTTAAGAGATAACAAATTACTGCCCTGTAATTACATCGCTCCCCTCGACGCAGCAAGGGATTTCGTTCTATCTTCGGCCTTTATTCCTATTCGCAGCGAGAACAGGTAGGTGCATTTTGCCCTTCATTCTTGGATCCAATGCGCTGGGAGTGGGTCAGGTGTCAGTTTCATTTCGTCGTTTCAAGTGTCAGTTTGGCTTAAACTCATCCGACTTCAGACTCTCCAATATCTCTGATTTTTTTCCCTTTCTCCATCCGAACCGCATCCGTCGCGTTCCGCCTCGTTTCGCTGTGAGCAACGAAACATGGAAAAGTAAATACGAAAGAATCAGGAACACAAAAAAACGAACCCGATGGCTTCCTAGATAGTTCATTTCCTTTCTAACTTTCTTTCTCGCCTCAGTGCCTATGTGATCCGTTCAGATCGGCTTACATTTCGATAGGCCGGCCTATAGGTTAATTTTAGCGGAGAAGAGACGATAAATAAATCAATTTAATTAGTTTACATTTGTATTCAGTTCCCTTCGGTCACGCAAACGATTTAACAGATTTTTCAGATAAAAAGATTCTGCGAAATTCTGCAGGTTTCCGTCGATTCGTTTCATCACCGTGAGCCTCTGCACCCCGTTCGGCGTCCCGACAATGCCGTGCCTGTTTCGATCGGAGAGAGTGAGAAAATTCCAGGTGCGAATCGGAAGCGTGGATTTCGACGATTTCGAGGTCGGTCGATATCCGCCCGCTTTGTCGAATGCAGGCGACAGGATTTTCTTTCTAGTTCCAGCTTCCTCATATGCGAATCTGTTTATTATTATTAATATTATTATTTGCCCGCAAGTCTTCTCCGTCCCCTCGCAGAATGGAGGAATCGTCGCCGAGAGTCTAGAACACGCCGCATCCCCAAGAAATTCGTGGAGCGAGAGGGAGGATCGACGGCCGCTCGAGGACCTCAGTATGAGGACCTCGGGATGAGGACCTCGCCCGGCGTGGAGGTGGCGGAGGGAGCGAGGGACGCGAGGGCGTCCTGCGCCCTGGCCGTCTGCGCGCTCCTGCTCCTCGCGGGACTCGCGTCCTTCCCGCGCCGCGTCCCGCCCTCCGCCCCGCGACCGGTCCCGGGGCTCGTGCCCGAACGCTGCTGGACGGGGACGGTTCGAACGCTCTGTCGAGGTCTGTGTCGTCCGTTAGTGGATTCGAGACGGTCGGGATGAGGGAAAACTTTGAGAACTGGTGTCAGTGGGCCTCGTGGAAGGCAATGTCGAGAAGCTTCTCGATCGAGTTTCAGAACAAAATAAATGTAAAGAAGGACGTAAATGCAAATTGGTCTGAGTCCGAATTTTAAAATTAGACTGCTCTTCAAAATGTAAAATAAATATTAATATTTATGGTAATATGTAAGGTAAAAATACATAAACTAAAATATGAAGGTGTGCATTACGATAGCAACTAATAAGATAATGTATTAGTATATAACGTAAAAACGGGCATGATTTTGCTCTATATTTCTCGTCGACATCTCAGATCCGGTAAGTCACGTCGGCGTGAACGAGCAGGAAGCGCGCTGCGCAAGAGAGCTGACCTCCAGTGCCCTGTCCCACCCGACCCGGACGCCCAACGCCCTTCCGCCCGAGGATGCGACAGCCTTTCTCCGCTGCATGGGGGACGGAGGCGAGGGGACGCGAGAAGCGAATCCTGGACCGAATCCGCGGCTGAGGGTGAGAGTCCGCTTCTCTCTCCCTCGCTCTCTCCCCGCAGCCCTAGATTCGACGCGTGACTCGATCTCTTCGGTTCTCCTTGCAGAGGCGTGACCCGCTGTTTCGTCATCGGATGGGAGGCCAGCCGCTCGTCTTCGTCCAGAGTGAGTTCTTTGAACTTGAGTAGAGTTTCGTTTCAATAATTTATGCAATGCTCTCGCGAGTGAAGGTCAAATGAAGAGGTAGAGACTTTTGCCATCTTGGATTCCGTTATTGACGTCGCCATCACAATTCGGTCCGGATTCGTTTCACTATGCAGAAATTTGCTCTCTGGAGGAGTGAAATGACTTTTTGCTCCGACTTCTTCCGTCTGAAACTTAATCGAACTTCCAGACTATTCCGATTATGTAGCGCATTGTTTTGACTGGAATGATGAGAGTTGCAGGCATTTCAGGACCCAACGGAACATCAAATCATGGCAGCCCGACGAAGTTTCGCTTGACCAAAAATTTACATTTTTTGGAAATTCATCGCGAACAGATGGATGGAGGGAAAGAGGGTCGAGGGCTCCCCCGTTCGCCGCACCGTTCGCAATGGAGCTGGACATCGTGATCGGGATCCAGCCGGACGTGGACGCGACGACGCCCACCCCCGCGCCGCGACCGGCGACGAGCACCGACGGGAGACGGGACCGGTCCGCCTTCCGCCGCCTCTTTTCCATCGGGGGAAAGCGGGAACTCCACCGAAGGCAGAGGCGGAGGCGGGACGTCTCTCGACTGCATCCACCCTCGATTAAAGAGGAGACTCTGAGCCTCCTGGACGCCATGATAAAGCGATACGACCGAGAGCTGGAGAAAGCGGAGGCGAAGCGACTGCTTAGCGCCTTCCCCGACGCCACGCGCACGAGCCGATCGGACCGCAGCGACACCGCCCGGACCTCCTCCTCTCCGAAGCAGAGCCCCAAGCGGAAGCAGACGGGCAGCGCCATCCCTTTCGGCTCCCTTCAGTCCCGGTCCGCAAAGCGAACCCGGAGCACCGCCATGCCCCTCGGGGTCCCGCGGGCCCGTCCCGCAAAGCGGACCCGGAGCAGCATCATCCCCCGCGGCGCTCCCCAATCCCGACCTGCAAAGCGGAAGCCGGGTGGCGGTCTCATCGTCCCCGAGGACCTGGCCGCCCTCGAGTCCGAGGGCGAGGCCATCGAGGACTCCGGCCTCTACGCCGCCGCCAGGACCGCCTTCAAGGTAGGTCCTTTACGTAATTTTGAGAGAAAGATTTATGAACGACTTGCGGAACGTCGAATAGAGAAACCCACGTGAAAAAGTTTTATCGATCGTCTCCATAGTATTTCCTAGAGCCTTCTAAAGAATCATCCATGTTCTTTCAGTGAACTGAATGGAAAACATTTTGCAGAACCCTTCAAGCGTTCATGCTTAGAATCCGATTATCGTGACTTAAAAATCCGTATTGACGTATCTGAAGATTCAGGAATTCCTTTCCCGCAATTTCTAAAATTCATAAATATTTCTTTATAACTTTCAGTTCGAAGAGATTTGCGTTCGAATATAATCGGTTGCATTGAAGTTGGCGTTCAGCCATTAATAATTTCTCCTTCTGACCTTATGGAGTCTGGAGATCCGAAACGGTCCCTGTCTTAGAGCCGTTTCGAGACATTTAGACCCGACTCCCAACACGCTCCGATAACTTTCGACAGAGATCGTTAATTTTCGCCTGGGAAAAGTCCAACCGCGTCTTAAAATCACAAACCCGCAAAATACATGAACCCAAGGCCCAGCCCAAAGAATGCCAGAAACCTGAAAAACGTGACGAGCTCGCTTGCGCCCCCAGGAGCAAGAAGTGCTTCGGAAGGCGCGACTGCGGGACCTGGGCCTCGACTCGGCCATCCAGCCCAACGAGCAGGATATCGCCATCGTCGCCAGAGTCGTCGAAAGGGGTGAGTCCACCGGGTCCATTCGATCCAGCGAGTCATCCCAGACGGATTTGAAACGGGGTGGAAATTTCACAGGCATTCCTGCTTAATTCAACGGAGGAGACCTCCCAGTCTCACAAATTTTTTTAGAGTTCTCACGGATCCATTGCCAAAAACTACAGAATTCTGAGCTATGGACTCCACCCGTGTAGAATTTTCAGCTAGCATATTTGCTGAATTCTGAAACGACCACAGAATAATTCTGCATGGATTCGGATCGCGCAGGCGAGGAGGCGAAGAAGGAAGGGAGCAGCGGGTCCATGATCGCGGTCGCCGTCGCCCTCCTCCTCCTCCTCGCGCTCGTCGCGGGCCTCGTCGTCTATCGGCGGATGCTGCCGGGCAGGGCGAAGACGACCAAGTGAGTCGCGGGCGTTCCCGTGCCTGATCTGTGTGGATCCTTCAGTACGATGAGGATCGGGTTTTGTTCGTGGTCGTTCGGCTTTTGCTTTCTCCTGCTGGTGGAGTCACTCAGAAAGATCTCGCGATGGCTTGTGGGTGGAACGAGGGGCGGGGGCGGGGGGCGGGGGGGGGAAGGGGGGAAGATGGTTAAAGGCAAACGGTGAAATTCTGTTCTGACTGCTTCCTTGGTTCGTGCCGTTGTCCCTGGATTTTCTAGGAAGGACCGAGCGGCGGTGAAGTCGCCCCAAAAGGAGGCCTCGTCCAAGATGGCAACCAAGAAGTCGAGAAAGCCCGAGACGAAATCCAAGGGCTCCAAATCCCAGAGCAAGAAGAAGAAAAGCAAGGACAGCAAGAGCAAGAGCAAAAAGAAGAGCAGGAAGAGTAGGAAGAACGGGAAGAGCAGAAAGAGCGGGAAAAGCGCGAAGAGCGGGAAAAGCAGAAAGAGCGGGAAAAGCGCGAAGAGCGGGAAGAGCGGAAAGAGCGCGAAAAGTAAGAAGAGCGGGAAGAGCAGGGGGGGGAAGAGCAAGAAGCGAAGCAAAAAGAGCAAGAGCAAGGCAGATAGGAGTGGAAAGAGCGAAAGGAGCCGAAGCAAGAGCAAGAAAAAGCCGAGACAAAGCGGAGGACAAGCGATCTTCTACTCCTCCTCCTCCTCCTCCGTGCCCGTGGACAGCACGTACTCCGACGGATATTCCCGGTCCGACCCTCCCTCCGAGAGCGACGGTAAGCGTTTCCGTGCCGACGTCGAGCGTTTCCTTCGCACTCCCCGAACGACGAGGATTCCGTGTCAGGGTCGAGATACGCGGGGCGCTGAGGCGACCCGAGTCCGAGAGGGATGACTGCTTGGGCTTGAATGGTCTTTTCTCTTCCGGAACGACGATGAAATGTGGACCGCGATTTCCCCGCGTCGTTTGAGAACGATCCGGCGAGGAAATCGCGATAAAGTAATGACGATCCGCAAAAAAAAAAAATTAAAAATCTTACAGAGAAATCAGAATCGTCGCCACCGCTATGCTCAAATAAAATCCCTTTATTTCTTTTAATCCAAGGAATTTCAATAAGGTTCCGACGAACCGAATGAAAAAAAAAAAAAAAAACCGGTCGCCTCCGGAAGCCCCCTAAACACCCTCAGCCTGCAACGCCTGCAGCGAAGCCTCCCCCCCGAGACCGACCGGACAGGGTCCAAACAGGCTGAACCTTCGGACCTCCGAAAATGCGCAGCCTCCAACGCACACGGCTCCGCCATCCCCCGAGTTCGACGGGCATCGAGGATCCCCTCAACTGGAGCACACCAAGTTTCTATCAATATTTCCTTATGCGAAATAAAATCACCCCGATTCTCGATTCCCCCGAGAATTCCCACCCTTCTTCGCGCTCGAAGATCCATTCGAGGAAGTTGCCACGAGCGCACGATCCTCGCGTCCAACCAGGCCCTCGAGGCGGGAACCTGGGTGGATCCGGTTTCCGTCGGCCTTTTCGAGCGGGATTCCGGCAGCACGATGACGACTTCCTCTCGGATAGTTTCATCTTGAGTTACTCCATGGCTTATTTTGAGATTATTTATTCTAATTTTTTTTTTTAAAGCGACTCTTTGGCTGCAGCTCATACATGACTCGTCGAAATCGTTGGCCACTCTGCAGGCGTCAACTATGTTCACTTTGCGACTCGTGGTAAAAATTTCAGTGGTCGTTCGTTTAAGGAACTCTGTTGGTGATAAAAAGAAATTGTCAGTAACTTTCGGCGGATTTTACTAGCATATCCAATTCATCAGTAATCTTGGCTCTGGAACCTACACAAAAGAGTGCCCAAGAGTACCAAGATGATCCATAGCTCTCCACTTCTGCGTCCAATATGGACCTCTAGGTGGGGGGAGTGAGTAGAAGCCTACGAGAATTTATATATATCATCACATGCATAATATGATAATCAAAAGTTTAGTTTATTTACCCTCCCCTAGTCCTGTACACTTCTGAATTCCCATACTTAACTTCAGCATTTAATAATTCCGAGTTTTATTTTGCAATCGAATAATTCCACGCTCTCCTAGCATGTTTATAGATTGCACATTAACAATAGGAAAAACGAGAAACACTTTTTTTATATCAGGAAGGCGAGTACTTCATTGCATTAGTAGGTGCAGGGAACGGGAGTACCATCTAGGGGAGTGCCAGCTACAATATGGGAAGAAAGTTGGTGGCCCTCCACCTACAATAGGTAGCGGGCCAGCAACTGCATGTCCCACTTGCCACCAAGTTCTCGCCCCCGGCAGAAACCTGCCAGTGTACTGCCTGGGCCACTTATGGCCCACTACTTTAGTGCTACTTGGGAATCCCATCAAGTTCTGAAAGGAACTCACGCATTCAAGCACTGGAAAAATCCCTTTTCAGAAAATCCTCATGATCGATGAGTTGGCTCGAGGACCCCGACGAAATCGGTACGAGGAATCAGGGACTGCATTCGTCATCTTCTGAGTGAGGGATCTTGACTTTGAAATAGATTTGATCGGCAGCCGAGTCGTTCCAAACTCATCACAGCGGTTCAATTCATTCAAATCAATTTCGTCGGTTGCCAATCACGGACCTTAACGAAGACCGAGTTCAGGAGGCGATGTCACTCACGTTCGGTGACAAGTTGCACCTCTGGTCGCAATCTCTTACAAAATGAATGCAAGTCCTTGGCAAACAAGAAAGGAAAAAGAAGCAGCGTCAATGGATGACACCGCCAAAACCTCTACAAGGACACAACACACTTAGAAGACTTTGGACAGTTTCAGAACAGCGTTTTATTTTCTCTTCAAACAGGAACTTATTTGTAGTGAGTTGATGGAAGCTTTCAGGAAAGTATTTTTTATTTCCGAATCGACAGACTGAACCGAATTCAACTCATGAAATGAAGGAATACCATACGATGGCGGAATACTAGTGTGAAACTGAAAAAGTGAAAAAGAGGAACAAAGACATTCACACTAACATATAATAATATCACAAGCTCTGGACTATAGAATCACCAGAAGCAGCAGGACCTGCCCTAGCTATTTCGGCAGCCTGTGCAAACAGACTCCTCAATTGCCTCCTCCCCCCCTCTTCACACACACACACACACACACACAATATCAGGATTGGGCTTCCACTTTTTCTAAATTTGAAACTCTTGTTTCATTCATTTGGTCAAAACTTGGTGCCCCTGAAGTTGCACCCTGTGCAGGGGCACTTGCCTTAACCAGATATGAAAGTAGATGACTAACCATAAACACAATCAATTTCAAACACAACTCAACAATTTCTCTAAATTTTCAAAGGTTCTGATCAGCCCTTGTAGAGATCTTAACCCTTAACCCTTTCGGACCTGAATTAAGGCCAGGTTTGGAATAATATGCTTTTTTGACATTTTGAGCTCTTTTACAATTATACTTTAAATTTCTATGTCCTATATATCATTTTTATACTTTGTGTAAATTTAACATATACCACATATTATATTATATAGATTTAATTAAATAACTGAAGATTACTAAACTGACAGGTATAAGAAGGCCTCCGATGGAATTGAGCCATGCATAATGGTGTCCCAATGTAGTATAATATGGGTGCAAAACAAAGTCACGAGAATCCCAAGAAATTTCCATAGACACAATGAAGATGCAATATCCATTGGAATGGATGCCAGATCTGAAAGGGTTAAGTAAACATCACATTATGAAAAGGCCTCTGTGCAAAATTGAGCTCTCCACATTGCTTCAATGTCTCATGGATTCTTCAGTCCCTAGTAGCACAAGAATGTTTAACCCTTACATTGCTGTTCACTGGTATACTTGATTTTATACTCCTGCTTCTTTATGACCAACTGCAGAGCTAATTAATAAATAGCACTCTGAATATTAACATAAATAAGAATATGAACCCTCCTGATAATCTGGTAACTTCAGTGAGAGTAGATAACAAGCAGTTTTTGTCCGAATGCAATTTAACCCATTGAGGAGTATGAATGTACCGGTGTGTCCATACTCCTGAAAGGTTTAAGAAAACTCGCTCCTCAAAGGGTTAACAATGTGTAAGCATAATGGCATAAAAAGGGCTAAAAAAAAAAAAAACTGCAGAGAGCCAGACTAGAGTATTTAAACTCAGCAGTGAAAGGTTTCAGGAAGCCCTCTATTAATAGTCAGTTAACAGATACAAGGAAAACTCGTTAACTCGAATCCTGATGAGTCGAAATTCTGCTTATCTTGAAGTTCAATGCTTGGTCCCGGCGGAACCCCTAGGACACCATGTTAAAAGCTCTGTTTAACTCGAATTCGCTTATCTCAAATGAAATTTCCACTCCCAATAATGATTTTCTCATGGTTAATTCGAATTCAGGGTGAGAAAAATTCTTCTTGTGGGACTTTTAGATTTTTGAATAGAATGAATGACACGAAACCCATTCGGGAGGATGCTCTTTAGTTTCTTTTGCTGCTTCTCCCTCCTCCCACACAGACGCCTGTGGAGAGGATAAAATCTGAGGATTAAAACCGAAAAGCTTCGGCTATAAAAAAGCCTCCAACATTCGCCCTATCAATCTATCACTCTCACTCTGAGCCATTCTGTCCCCTATGTCTGTTCATGTGTGGTTTTTTTTTTTTTGGGGGGCTTCTACTTCTTCTCCCCGTTTCTTAGTAACCATATCCTCGGTTGGGAACGGCCGAAGTAAAAAACACTTCCGCCATGCACACTCTCCCAGGATTTTTTTATTTAAAAAAAATTGTTTTCAACCATT